CCAGGCGCCCCGAAAAACATGTTTTTAAAAGGGGACCATTCACAATCATAATATAAAGTATAATGAGTCCAGGAATAAATCTGATGAAAGATAGACAAGCATCTTTGGAGAAAATTAGAAATTTCTATGGAGATCATTAAGAAAAGCCTAAAAAACTAGACATATATAGGAAGGTAATATTGTAAAAATGTCAATTTTCTTCATGAGTTGATGTACAGAAAATGTATTTCCAATCATAATCACATCAGGACTTCGTGGAAACTGATATGTTGGTTCTAAAATGTGTATGTAATAACAAAGGGCCAAGAATAGTAATAACAAAGGGCCAACACGCTCCTGAAAAAAACTTGCTCAACTGGATAGCAAAACTTACAAAGGTAAAGTAATTAAGACAGAATGGTATTAGCACAGGGATAGAGAACTTGGAAGAGAATATAAGTCTGGAAACAGACTTGCACATTATGAAACCTTGTTATATGACCAGAGATGTCATTGTAGATCACTGGAGAAATTCTAGTCAATAAACGGTATTGGAAACATTGGCTGGCCATTTGGAAAACAAAGAAATGGATTCCTATTTTGTACCAAACAAAACCCGATTCTGTGTGGACTAATGATTTGAACGTGAAAGGCAAAACTTTTAAAGTTTCCTCCCAAATTCTAGGAATTACTTGACTTTAGGGTAGGCAAGAATTGTTTCTTTTTCTTTCTTTATTTAAAAATTTTTTTTTCAACGTTTATTTATTTTTGGGACAGAGAGAGACAGAGCATGAACGGGGGAGGGGCAGAGAGAGAGGGAGACACAGAATCGGAAACAGGCTCCAGGGTCTGAGCCATCAGGCCAGAGCCCGACCCGGGGCTCGAACTCGTGGACCGCGAGATCGTGACCTGGCTGAAGTCGGACGCTTAACCGACTGCGCCACCCAGGTGCCCCTCTTTTTCTTTCTTTAAAAAAATTTTTTTAATGTTTATTTTTATTTTGGAGAGAGGGAGAGAGAGTGGGGGAGGGGCAGAGAGAGGGAGGGGACAGAGGATCCAAGCAGGCTCTGTGCTGACAGCTGAGAGCCTGAAGTGGGGCTCGAACTCATGAACTCAGAGATCATGACCTGAGCCAAAATCTGATGCTTCGCCAACTGAGCCACCCAACGTGTCCCTCTGAAGGTTTTCCATAAACCTACCTGCCCACTCATGCATAGTCTCTCCCTTTATCAACATGTCCCAACATGTTTCGTGGTATGTTGGTTGCTATTGATGAATCTATGCTGATTTATCATTTTCATCTAAAGTCCACCATCACCTTAGGGTTCACCCCTGGTGTTATACATTCTATGGGTTTGGACAAATGTACAACGACAGTATCCACCATCATGGTATCATACATAGTGCTTTCACTGTCAGAAAAACGTATTCATCCCTCCCATCCCCCAGCCCGGGGCAGGGCAAGGACTTTTTAGATGCCCAAGTTGCAAACTACAGAAGAAAAGATGGACACTTTCAGCTACATTAAACTTAAGAACTTTTACTCATCCAAAGATTCCATAAAGAAAGTGAAAAAATCTTGGACTGGAGGCTGGATTGGGGGGGAAATTGCCCTAAAGAACATTATCGGAACATCTGGGCTGAGTTTCAATATAAACTGTGAATTGGATGTTAGTGTTCTATCAGTGTTAAACTACCTGAATTTGAAAACGGTTCAATGTTAACTATCTAAATTTGGAAATGGGTACGTAAAAGAATATTTTTGTTTCCAAGGATACATGCTACAACTTAGTCCCAAATAGATGAGCAAAAGTGCTGTGTATATTGTCTATTTTATACACAAATATAGCAAACTGTGAATTGATGTGAATGGTATGTACACAGGAGTTCACTGTATTTGTCATGAAGCTTTTCTGTAAGTTTGATATTTTTTCCAAAATAGAGTAAAAAGGTTTTTTAATGTGTGAAAACCCATGCTATAAACAGGGAGAAAACATTTCCAACACATGCAACTGACAAAAAGATTGGTATCAAGAATATATTTTTATTTATTATTTTTTAAATGTTTTATTTATTTTTGAGAGTGTGAGCAGTGGAGGAGCAGAGAGAGGGGGACAGAGGAGCTGGAAGTGGGTTTTGTGCTGACAGCAGCGAGCCTGCCCAACACAGGGTTTGAACTCACAAACCGTGAGATCGTGAACTGAGCTAAAGTTGGACGCTCAACTGACTGAGCCACCCAGGTGCCCCTCAAGAATATAGTTTTTAAAAAGTAAAACCCTTCAGGGCACCTGGATGGCTCAGTCGGTTATGCATCTGACTTTGGTCAGGTCATGATCTCATGGTTCGTGGGTTTGAGCCCTACGTTGGGCTCTGTGCTGGCAGCTCAGACCCTGGAGCCTGCTTTGGATTCTGTGTCTCTCGGACTTGCTTCGGCAGCACATATACTAAAATTGGATTCTGTGTCTCCCTCTCTTTGCCCCTCCCCTGTTCGTGATCTGTCTCTCTTTCTCGAAAAGAAAAGGAAAGGAAAGGAAAGGAAAGGAAAGGAAAGGAAAGGAAAAACTCTTAGAAGAAGAGAAATAGAAATGGACAATCAACATATGAAAAAATGCTCAACATTATGGTACAGATTTATTCTCAATAGACTAGCAAAAATTAAGAAGTCTGATAATAATAAGGTTTGGAGAGAATGTGGAATAATAAGAAAGGGCCGATCAGTGCTGCTGGCAGCATAGATTGGTACCACCACTTTGAAAACATTTCAGCATTACCTTTTAAAGTTGAATACCCCATACCCTCTGACCTAGAAGTTGTGCTCCTGGGTTCAAATGAAACTCAGGCACATCCACAGGAGATGTGCACAGAATGCTCCCACCAGCCTTGTTAGTAATTACAAGGGGAAGATTTGAGTTTTGTGAGGGCATGAGATTACATAATTGCAGAAAAATCACAACAAACTACAAATGTGACAAAACTGGGTAAAGTACCATACTATTTTTTTAAGTGTTTTACACACCTGTATACCTTTTCCTTTTCCTTTTTTTTTTAAACTGCATACTCTTTGATCCGTCTCCGTGACCATGATTTCTGTAATGCTGTTTATGTAGAGAGAATAAAAAAGACTAAGTCTTTCTTTTACCATGGTTAATTGAGTTTTTTTAAATTATTAATCTTTAAGATGTAAAAAAAAAAGTCTGGACAGAATCACTGTCTGTGACCTACAAACTCAGGGATTCTGATAAATTTTACTTTGAATGATTCCTATCAATAAAGGAAAAATGTAAAGTGCATTTATAATGATATAATCATGAATACATTCCTGATGGGAGAGAATTTCCATTTGACTTAAGCATTGGTCAGAACACCATTCTCTGCTTACATTTTTACAGATCTAATAAATTTTTACAGACCAGCTTCTAGCTCCCTCCATTTCAAACTATATTTTTCCCTCAACATGCATATACTTCTGATGCTGGATGCCATAGGACACATTCATATCCTGATATGACATTTGTCCCTGTCCCTTCCTACTCTGGGATGGGAAGCAAAAGCCTAACATTAACAGACTGCAAACCCATAAATACATTCCACTGAACTCAAGTAAATGTATCTGCAACTCAACCCACCTTGGCTGGATCCCCAAATGCCTGCTGCTATCTATCACCACCCAACTTGAGAAGTGTTGACGGAGGGGAAGCCGGAGTATAAAGAAAAAGTGGTCCTAATCCATCCTGGTTTAAATACTTCTTTAGAAGATTTTACAAAAACATATGACCGTGTGAACACATGGACAAGGCTCCTCTTTTAGGGCTTTGGAAGGGACCCATGGGAGTGGGGGCCCTGAAGCTCAAATTTCATTAGCCTCACGGTAAATTTGCCTCTAATAAATACAAAATACTGAAGACAATTCAAAAGTACATAGGAAAATACACGTAAACAACTTTACAGATACAAAATATTATAGCAGTAAAAATGAATGCTTTACTGCTTGCTTACGCTTAACAACTTGGAGGAATCAAAGAAACAAATGCTGAATGATAAAAAGTGAATCCCACATGGCTAGATATATATTGTTTTTATAAAGCTCAAAAAGAAGGAAAAGGAAACAATGTATCAATTAGGAATGCATCCAACTCTGATAAAACTACCAAAACGGAAAGGAGAGAGAAAAGAAATCCAGCATAGTGGTCGCTGAGGGAAGCAGCAAGGTGTTCAATCTGAGATGAAGGGATATATGTTTATACTAATAACGTGGCGGAGTCACAGACTTTCGTATTATCAGCACGCTTTAAAACTTAACGTTAATTGCTCAAAATGCTATTTTGTATGCACCAAACATTAGATTGAAAGTATTTCTGAATCGGTAAGAAAAATGTTGAAGTCGGCAAATTTGGCTTTCCTCCTTCCTTCCCCCCTGCTTTCTCCGCATCCCGATCTTTTAACTAACTACTAGCTGCTGGGGGCATGTGGCTCCAGAGTCTAGCAAAGCAGAGAAATGGCAATCCATGGGGACCAAAACCGTGACTTGTGTTATTTTCTGTTTGGTGATGGGTGGGGTGTGGTAGTATGGAAATATTATCCAGCGTATCAAATACATCGTGTTAAACTTACTGCATTTAGTTTTAGAGTTATTTTGCCAGCTAAAAGCAGAACGGGTTTTCAGGCCTCTGGGGCCTCTGCCCCTCCCTTTTACACTCAGACTTCCCACTTTCTAAGTGTACCAGGCCCCCGCGCCACCCTTCAGTCTTTCCGGGCGGTCTAACTGTTTTTCACCAGTCCTGGCCCACTCGATTACGTAAATTCTTCCAAGAGGATCCCCAAACCCGCCCCGCCCTGCAGAACTTGGCCAGCTCCAGCCACGCTCCGAAGTTTACCAGCAGCAGGGAACCGGGAAGGGCAAGGAAAGGCGCGGAACTTCCCAGTCCCCGCCCCTCCCTCGTTCCTCCCGCCCCCGTCAGCTACTAGCCAAGCTCCGCCTCCCGCGGTAGCCCCGCCTTCCCCGTCGCCCTAAGGCGCGCCGCGGCCTCCTTCCAAAACCCGGAGAAGTGGATTCTGCGCTCCGCACGGCCTTTCCTAACCGTGGTGTGGCCGAGCGGGTCCAGGCTTGTCGGCAGGAAACTGGGCCCAGCGCCTGGAGGGGGAAGGCGGCCCCGAGCGGGAGCGGACGCGCAGCAGGCCTGCGCGAGTGAGCGTGCTGCGGGCCCCGGCCGCTCGGGCCTCTTTCCAGTCGTGCTCCCTTTCCTCTGGGACGCGGGGCGCTAGGCCGCGGCGGTAGGATCCCCCCCATCCCGTACACAGTCCCCCTCCCACCCTTGCAGTCGCGGGGTCCCGGGCCTCCGGCCGGAATCCGGCGCCCCGCCCTCCCCGTCTCCTAGCAGCGCCGTGACGTGCGTGCGCCTTTGGGTGCGGGGGTGAGGGGCAACGCCCGAGGGGAGGGTCTGGGAGCGCGCCCCGGGAGGGATCCGGCGACTGGGAGGCCGCGCCGCTCCCCGCGCCCTGCCTGAGCCGGTTCCGTTTCGCCATTTGAGGACCTTGAGTTCCAAGCTCTTCCCTGCCGACACAGAGCCGTCCCTCTCCCACCTCCTTGACATTCTCGGAGACTTGGGATAGTAATTCTAGACCTTCAGTTGCATTTTTGTTGGAATTTTTCTGGAAAAATTGAATCTGGTAACTTATCCTAAGAATTTTTTTTTTGAGAAAGGTGTTTTAGTATATCTAATAGGCTCAAAATTAGGTTAAAAGCCTTGTTTCACAGCCCACAGTCATTTTGCAAAAACATTTTTGGTGGAGATAGGCATGGCAGTGGTTGAGAGCTTGCACTCTGGAGCCAGAATGCCTGGGTTCTAACACTTGAGAATGGTGTGAGCTTGGACAAGCCACTTAATCTCTAGCTGGCCAAGTTTCCTCATGTGAAAAATTATAATAGAATACATAATACAGCATAATAAATATCTATATATGTCCGGGGGGGAGGGGCGGTGGTGCTAACCTACTTTCCAAGCTTGTGAAGATCAGGTTAACAGGTCTTGAAGCGCTAAGCACTGTGGAACATAGCAATACATACGGGTTACTTATTACATCAAAATAGCATTTTTTCTCTATGCCTTGTGGTTTTGATTTTCGAGATTCCAGCTGTGAAATGTTTCTCCTGTTTTGTGAAAACGTAATAAAAGGATTTACTCCAGAATTTCTGTAATATTTGGTATTTCAAAGTGCAAGTAGCCAGTAAACAGAAGCAGGCAGTATGCACAAGGCTGTGCTAAGCAGTGTGCAAAGTTTCACCACTCCCATGTGTAAGGAAAAGGGCTGTTTGTTTTCACCAGAGGAAATTGATGAATGGCAGAAAAGCTTGCTCTAAGTAGTGTCGTGATGCCTTCCTCTATTCCTTTCAGGCAAAGCCCAGGGACACTAGGCTGACTGCAAGATAACCATACTTTATATGTGAATTTTATTCTTCATTGAGGGTTAAATAAATCTCATTATATAATTTCCTCAACAGAATATCAGAGGATGTTTGTTCCAAGATCTCTAAAAATCAAGAGGAATGCTAATGGTGACAGCAAAAGTTGTGCAGCTAAGAAAATTAAATCAGATGCAGAAGACCTTCAGCAGGATGAAGGCAGAGATGATTCAACTGATGCTTTAGTTACAAAAGAAGCCACGACGTCAGACAGGCCCAGCACAGAACCATGCCCTTTCCCTAGCACAGCTGGCCAGTTGGCTGAGGTTTGTTTGGTTGGACCTGAGCAGGACGCAAAGGATAGCGATCTTTCTGAAGAGCCTGTAAAGTCATTTTCCAAAACACAGCGCTGGGCAGAACCTGGAGAACCTGTCTGTGTTGTTTGTGGTCGTTATGGAGAGTATATCTGCGATAAGACAGATGAAGATGTGTGTAGTTTGGAGTGTAAAGCCAAACATCTTCTGCAAGTAAAGGAAAAGGAAGAGAGATTAAAACTCAGCAGTCCTCAGAAAGCTGATTCTGAGCCCGAGGCTCCACTTAATGCTTTTTATGTCTATAAAGAGCACCCCTTTATTTTGAACCTTCAGGAAGACCAGATTGAAAATCTTAAACGGCAGCTAGGAATTGTAGTTCAAGGGCAAGATGTCACCAGACCTATTATTGACTTCGAGCACTGTGGTTTCCCTGAGGCCTTAAATCTCAACTTGAAGAAATCGGGCTATGAAGTTCCAACCCCCATCCAAATGCAGATGATTCCTGTAGGACTCCTGGGAAGAGACATTCTGGCCAGTGCGGATACTGGCTCAGGAAAAACAGCCGCTTTTCTTCTTCCTGTTATCACTCGAGCTTTATGTGAGGTAAGAGTTCACATGTGTTACTCTCAGAAGCAAGTCAGGTATATACCAAGTTTCAGCCTTAATTACATTAAAGCTGCAAACTGAACTATAATCTTAGTCGTTAGTGCTCTTAGTGGTTTTGCTTCTGATGGTAGTTTGTATGAAGAACATAATTTTCGGGAATTTTCCTTTTATTAGATTGGACCAAAGATCTTTTCCTTGAAGGTCTTAAAAATTGCCTTCCTTACAAAATATCTTCAACAGATTTTCTATTCAAGAAGTAGACTTTTGCTCTGGGGAAAGAAATGCTGCTGACTGGGTGACCTGCAGTTTTTGTGTCCATTTAGCCTCCTTGGATTTTGTGTTTTGAAAAAACTGATTTATACCAAAGTTAGAACGCTATCATAGAGTTCAAAAGCTACCCTTGAATGTGATTCGTGGTTCATCTTAAAATAATGCTGCCTTACTTTACTTGTGAGTTTCTAGTGTATAAAGCACCCCCCACACACACATAATTACTTTAACCACAATGTTTACCAAGTACTATTGAATTTGTGGGGTCTGGAGTAGGGCAGGAAGGGAAACCAGTGGAAAATGTAGGCAAAGAGAGGAGAGGTAAAGGAGGAAAATTTGGAAAACTAAGAATTGTAGAAGATAATGTGAGGAAAAAATAAAAGAAAGCACCTCATGTTTAAAATATAGGTAAAACTCACTGGATGTCCAAAACAGAGCTATAGTGCAGGACATTTGTAACAGTAAGTGAATCCATAGGAGAGCCAAGGGTGGGATGCCAAGCTTTAACCAGATCTTCATGGTTTTCTCTTCAGAGGAGCATGGCTGGAGATTGCAGAGTCCATTTGACTGGGAGCAAACTTTCAGTTTTCCCACCTTGGTTATTGTGGGTGCTCCTCCCTGGCCCCAGTTTTGATTTTTCATTGTATGTCTGTGTTTTATAAGAAATGGGTTCAATTTACACTTAATCTTAGCCAAAAGGCTGAGAAGCGATAGAAAATGGGTTCAATTTACAACGGTTTTTGGAGAGAACATCTGCGGTGAACAGAAGGCAGGAGGGTTCATATCCAGTTGGGCTGACGGGAACGTTCCTAGAATCACTTTGAAGATTTAGTCCACATCTGCAGGAATTAATTGCCAGTGCTTTTAGACTTGTTTTTCCCATCTTTGCAGAGCAAAACTCCATCTGCACTCATTCTTACGCCAACAAGAGAATTAGCCATTCAGATAGAGAGCCAAGCTAAAGAATTGATGAGTGGTCTGCCACGCATGAAAACTGTGCTTCTGGTAGGGGGCTTACCCTTACCTCCACAGCTTTATCGTTTGCGACAACATGTTAAGGTGAGCACCAATTTGGTAAAATGCCTTTGAAAAGCATTGTGAGCAATATGGGAGCTAGTTGTTGTTCTGTTTATTTATTTATTTATTTTTTTGCCCTTAAGGAATGTGATTTAGGTTAAACCTTTTTTTTAACTTTATTTATTTTGAGGGGGTGGCTGGCAAGAGAGAGAGAGGGAGAGAGAGAATCCCAAGCAGGCTCTGTGCTGCCAGTGAAGAGCCCAGTGCAGGGCTGGACCTCATGAACTGTGAGATCATGACTTGAGCTGAAACCAAGAGTTGGACACTTAACTGTCTGAGCCACCCAGGTGCCCTTAGGTTAGCCTTTAAATTCTTGCCAAGCAAGCCTTAATTTTTTTTAAGTTTTTTTTTTTAATAAATCTTTTACTGTTTTTAATGTTTATTTATTTATTTTTGAAAGAGAGAGAGGGAGCAGGGGAGGGGCGGGGGGGGGGTGGGGAGAGAATCCCAAGCAGGCTCCACACTATGAGTTTAGAGTCAGATGTGGGGCTTGAACCCGTGAACCAGGAGATCTTGACCTGAGCTAAAATCAAGACGTTTAACCGACTGAGCTGCCCAGGTGCCCCTTAAGTTTGTTTCTATCAGAAAGGGACACAATTTATTGAGTGTCTGTCATATGCCAAATCCTGTTGGATGTTTTCACCTGCATTATCCTATTCAGTTTTCACATTTGCTCTTGAAGGTGGGTTGGCATATCCCATCTTCTATCGTTGAGAAGTTGAATCTCAGAAAGATGGGATTTATCTAAGGATCCATAGCTACTATAAAGTGTGATTTCCTTTTTCGTTTTTTAAGTAGGCTCTGTGCCCAACATGGGGCTTTCACAACCCTGAGATCAAGAGTAGGATGCTTTACTGATTGAGCCAGCCAGGTGCCCCTAGAGTGTGATTCCTACAGAGAAGGAGGTTATCCCATGTAACCACAATACAGTTATAGAATCAGGAAATTAACATGGATACACTGGAATGCATCAGGAATTAATGTTGCTGCCATCTACTCTTCAGACCCCATTCATGTTTTACTAATTGCCCCATCACCTTTTTTTTTCCTAATAGCACAAGAATCCAGTTCAGAATCATATTTTGCATTTAGTTGTCATGTCTCTTTCATCTCCTTCAGTTTGGAAGAGTTGTTCAGTCTTTGCTTTTTTTAAAGGATTATAAACTGCTTAGTTTGAAGAAGGCCCCTCAATTGATTAGATTCAAGTTACGCATGTTTGAAAGGAATATCATAGAAGAGATGCTTTGTTTTTTTCATTACATCCTTGTAGATGATACATAATGTCAGTTTGTCCTTTTACTGGTGATATTACCTGTAAAGTAACTGTAAAGTTTTATTTTTCCCTTTGTATTTTGAGGAGTATTTTCATACTGTAAATTTCTTGTGCTTTACCACATTTCAAGCTTATTCTTTATATATATGTATACATATAATACATACATATATATACTTACATAATATATAAGTATATACATATAATATATACATATATATATATATATATACTTATATCAGCATAGACTCATGATTTCCTATTTCATTTAAAGGATTATAATCTGGGGGCACCTGGGTGGCTTAGTCGGTTGAGCATCCAACTCTTGATTTCGGCTCAGGTCATGATCTCACAGTTTTTGAGTTTGAGCCCCACATCGGGCTCACTGCTGTCAGCACAGAGCCCACCTCACTTCGGATCCTCTGTCTTCCTCTCTCTCTGCCCCTCCCCCACTGTGCATGTGTGCTTGCTCTCTCTCTCTCTTTCTCAAAAATAGATGAACATTAAAAAAAAAAAGCTTCTGTCTCTCCCTCTACCCCTCTCCTCTGCTCTTTCTCTCTCTCTAAAATAAAAAAAAAATGAATTAAAAAATAAAGGATTATAATCTGTTATTACCATTATTTGTTTTGATTCTCCAGTAGTCCCCAATTTGAGCAGTGGAATCACCATCAAGTTGGCTTCTGTGTCCTTTTATTATATCCCCATCATTCTTTGAGCACTTTATTTCTTTCTGTCTGAAGAAGATGTTCATGCTTCCATTGTTCTTTCCTTGCCTCAGCCCTGGAATCATGCTTTTCTCCAAGTTGCCATGATTCCTTTTGCTACAGGATAGTATTTAGAAACCAAGACCTGGGCTCTAGGTTGGGCTCATTGCTGTTGGCTTTTGCTATTGAGTTATCATTGCTTCTAGGACCTCTTAGTGAATAGAGGGAGAGAATTACTCCATAATTGGGTATTCTGCATCTGTATTTATCGGAGACCATTTATCATGTCGATACTTCCAACTCTAATTAGACACAACAAAATTTGTTTTGGGGTTTTCTGTCTCCGTGTTTGTAACCCTGGCAGTGAGAAACTTGCTACCCATTATCTTTTATATATTTGTTTACTTGACCAATCCTCCTCTATGTAACCCCTTGCCCGTCCTCATCTCTGTCCACTGCCACAGAGTGATGCCTTCTTACTAGGCTCCACCCTGTGCCCTCTTCACCCCCTGAGACCACCAACACCCTGTGCAGGGCCACCTTTCTATGAAGGCCCCTTCTCACCCTCCTATCTCTCCCACTCCCTATGCTGGGCCATGTCTTTCACAGATGCCCTCTGAGAAAATGTGTCTGTCAAGGGGCACCTGGGTGGCTCAGTTGGTTAAGCATCTGACTTTGGTTCAGGTCATGATCTCACTGTTCAGGGGTTTCAGCCCTGCATCAGGCTCTCTGCTGTCAGCACAGAGCCTGCTTCTGATCCTTGGTCTCCCTCTCTCTCTGCCCCTCCCCTGCTCGTTCTCTCTCCTTCTCTCTGTGTCTCCTAAAAATAAATAAACATTTCAAGAAAAAAATCTGTCCAACAAAGTGATCTTTCAAAAGCCAGGGCAAAATAGCCACCTTTTCAGATGAACAAAGCTGAGAGAGTTTATTACCAATAGAGTATCTAAAGGATCATTAAACTAAGATATTCCACATACAAAGAATCTGATTCTGGAAAGGAAGGTTTAGGATCAAAGAAAGAATGGCGAGCAAAGACAATACTAAGCATATGGATAAGTGTAAACAAATATTGACCAAATAAAAAGTAGTCGTGAACAATTTGTGGGTTTAAAAAAATAAAAGAAGGAAAATACTGGCCAAATGTAGCATATAAGTGCAGAAAGGTTGTGATTGGTGTAAATCAATTGCCCTTGATCAAGAAAAAGGTACATATGTCCATTAATTTTAGATTTTATTAAATTACAAATATTTGTTAAAATTCAAGGGAAGCGCTAGAAGAATGGGAAAAAAAAAGTTTCTAACTTCCAAACCGGCAGAATGCGGGAAAGTGGAAGAGGAATAGAAGGGATGAACTCAGTTCAAAATAATTGAAATGGATTTAAATGCTTACAGTATTTCTGAAGAAACCAAGCAGAGCTCTATAGCTCTATGGATACAGATCCTTACAACCCTGAAATTTATCATTCTCTGTGAGCTTGCCGTTGTGTTGCTGTGTCCTTGAAAAGTGGAATACAATTGAATTTATTAGATCATTTGTAACTCAACTTTTCGCCAGGCACCGTCTCATTCAATCTTTATAATAATTATCATTTCCATTTTATGAATGTGAGAACAGAGGCTCACGCCATTTATTAAGTGCTATAGCTAAGACTCCTACTGAAGTTTGACTAAACAGCGCCTACTTTTAACTACTCCTTCAACTATTATAAAACTGTTAAGAGCCTTGAGCAACTTTAGAAATCATTGTGCCCAACCTTTTAATTTAAAACGAAATAGCAGGCCCAAAGGGGTTTAGGGATTTGCACTTGTTTACGGAGCCAAATAGCGGTCAGCCTGCCTGCAGAGCCCTTCCTGGTCTGGTCTCTGCCTACTTTCAAGCTTCATCCAAGTCTTTCTTCCCCTTTTTTACCTTGCGGAAGCCTCTGTGGCCTTCCAGCCACAGAAGGTTCCTGGATGTTTTCCTTCCACCTGGTCCTCTCCTTGCTAGCTCTCACTACTTCTGTGTTAGGGTTTAGCTTATATGTTAGCGGGGACTGGACAGATGCCTCCGTTTATTGCATACCATACTGACCTCATGAGTATTTATCTGATCCTTCCTTTGTGTTACAAGTTTCATGAGAGCAGAGACTACATCTCACTTAATCATCATTGATTCTGAGTACCTAACCTCAGTGACTGGCACATATTAGCCACCCAGTAAGTATACATAGAAAGAATGAATAAAGGAAGGAAGGAATATTATCTAATTTATTATCTTTTTCTCATTTATTCAGGTTATCATTGCAACTCCTGGGCGACTTCTGGATATAATAAAACAGAGCTCTGTAGAACTCCGTGGTATAAAAATTGTAGTAGTAGATGAAGTAAGTAGTGTTACTTAGAACATTAGTTACATAATTTTATATAGTTTATGAAAAATACATTATAGTTATATAATCTCACTGTGTGTTCAGGCATTTTCTCCCCAAAGGAAAAAAAAATTAGGGATTTTTTTTAAATTGCAGTGGTCATTCTTTTTTTTTTTTAACTAAAACATTTTTTTTGAGAGAGAGAGAGAGAGCGTATGCACACTCAAGTGAGGGAGGGGCAGAGAGAGAGGGAGACACAGAATCCAAAGCAGGCTCTAGGCTCTCAGCTGTCAGCACAGAGCCCCACATGGGGCTCTAGCTCAACAAACCGCGAGATCGTGACCTGAGCCGAAGTCAGACGCTTAACCGACTGAGCCACCCAGGAGCCCCTAATTGCAGTGGTCATTCTTAATCTAGTTCCTGTGTAGCATTGCAACTACCCTAAGGTATAGTGCACTGAAATTAAACCACATTAATAAATAAAATTAGCTGTCTTTTCCTAATTGACAGAAAACACAAATCCAACAGCTACTGTATTCTCAGTGATAAGTTTTTTAAACACTTGACACTGGCTATCATTTGTCTACAAAAATAAATGGATCAGTGGCAAATAACTATTAACAGGGATTTTGGAAGTAGCTGAGAATGCTTAATTGGATGACCTTTTGTATTTTTTCTCTACGTGGTCATAGGCATTTGTGGTTGTGATTTTCAGTGGTACATAGAGCAGATAAGCATTTTTATATTTTTGGTTTGCTTACAAGATAAAATAAATATGTTAGTATCTGCTGATATTCCACCATGTGAACAAGCATGAGGACACAAAACCATGTGTCAGCCCAGGCTGGACATGTGCCGGTTCTGCCTGCGGGGCATTGCACTTCTGCCTTCACACACGTCCCAACAGCAGTAACAGAGCAGAGGCCCAGCAGGGGTCACAGATGTGGGGTCCAGGTGCTGACCAGTGATGGCAACCTGGCCTGCCTTCTGTGGGGCCCAGTAAGTAGCAGTAGGGTGCCAGGGGGTGTGGAAAGAACACCTGGATGAGACCGCAAGACTGGGATTTGAGCCTTTATTCTACCTACTATGGGATGCTGGGCAAGTCATTTAATCTTCCAGACATTGTGAAAATGTCTCATAGACTGAAAAGTCCTGTAAAAATGTAAAATAATGTTATTCAGTCCTTTATTATTTTTTTCTGTTTTTTTCCCTTATATATTTACCTTTTTTTCCCCAGTGAGAATATTTAAGTTCTACTCCCTTAGCAAATTTCAGTTATACAGTATAGCGTTAACCAACTATGGTAACAACATTGTGCATGTCAGACCTTACCTGTTTTATAACCAAAAGTTCTTACCCTTTTATCCTAAACCTCTTCCTGTTTCACCCACTCTCTAGCCCCTGGCAATCATTTTTCTACTACTTTCTATGAATTTGACTTTTATTTTCTTATGTTGAACTTTTTTATTTATTTATTTATTTATTTATTTATTTTTTAAAAATTTTTTTTCAACGTTTTTATTTATTTTTGGGACAGAGAGAGACAGAGCATGAACAGGGGAGGGGCAGAGAGAGAGGGAGACACAGAATCGGAAACAGGCTCCAGGCTCCGAGCCATCAGCCAGAGCCCAACGCGGGGCTCGAACTCACGGACCGCGAGATCGTGACCTGGCTGAAGTCGGACGCTTAACCGACTGCGCCACCCAGGCGCCCCTTATTTATTTTTTTTAATGTTTGTTTATTTTTGAGACAGAGACAAAGCATGAACGGGGGAGGGTCAGAGAGAGGGAGATAATCTGAAACAGGCTCCAGGCTCTGAGCTGTCAGCACAGAGCCCGATGGGGGGCTCGAACTCACGGACCGCAAGATCATGACCTGGGCCGAAGTCGGCTGCTTAACCGACTGAGCCACCCAGGCGCCCCATGCTGAACTTTTTTAAATTGCACATATAAGTACTATCATACAGTATTTGTCTTTTTCTGTCTAGCTTACTTTAATGCCCTCCAGGTCCATCCATGTTACTAAAAATGTAAGAAGTTTAAGTCTGAATAATAGTCCATTGTGTATACATACACCAGATTTTCTTTATCCATTCATCTGCCAATGGACACTTAGGTTGTTTCCATACCTTGGCTATTGTGAACTGTTACTCAGTCCTTTAAAAGGTGCTGCTAGGTCAGCATTTTCCTGGTGTGCCTTTTGGTTCAACTGATTTATTGCATTGGATTATCATCAGACTTACTGCCACCCTGCAAGTATGAATGGGTTTCCCATTGTTGATAAGCCCATGTTCTTAAGTTCTTGCCATCTTATGAGCCTGAGAAACAGATCATCACATTGATTTTAAAGTTAATTTCCATTCCTGTTTGCTTCTCTTCACGACATTTCCATCTTTGCCAATTAATAGGATTTCACAGGACACCTCAGTGCTGTGCTCAGAATACAAAAGGAGTATTCATTCAGCAAACCTATACTGAGTGCTTGTTATGTGCAGCCTCTGTCCCAGCTCCTCAGCATTTAAGGAAATGAGCTGGTAAACAACATAATTGGTCATGTACTGAAACTGAAGTCAGCATAGAAGTGCTATTCAGAGTCCTTGGCTCTGAAACCTTCCATCAGTCCCCCAGATAGACTTTAGGTCTTCTTTCCTCTCTGACCTGTATGTAGATTGAGCAGCTCTAGATGAGTTTGGATGGAATCACAAAGAAATTTTAAATACTATTCAGGCCTACAAAGTACTGAAACCTTATTGGAGAAAAAGACATATACACTTGAAATTAAGCAAGAGCATTATCATATATACTGAAATACAAAGTACTAAAGTGTGTAATGTAGGCCAGGGAATGGCAAACTCGTGCTGTAAAGGACCAGATAGTAAATATTTAAGGCTTCAGGGGCCACTTGGTCTCTGTTGAAACTGTTCAGTACAACCATAGACAGTAGGTAAATAAATGGGTATGACTGTGTTCGCATAAAACTGTTTACAGAAACACACAGAGGTCTGAGTTTGTCCCAAGAGCCTTAGTTTGCTGACGCCTGATATAAGCTGTTAGTAAAAAAACAGGACTATGTATGATATGCTAATTTTTCAGTGCAATTAAGGTCAAGAGAAAGAAATAAGAGATTGTGTGAATTGGCACTGTAAAAAATGGCCTCTCCGAGGTAATGGGATTTGACCTGGTCGTCCACAGATGGAAAAGGATTTAGAAAACTAGAGAATGTATCCAGTATTCCAGGTGAAGAAGCTAACATAGGCAGAGGCAGAAAGGCCAAGTACATGCACTGAGAGACCAACCAGCTTGAAGCATTCTTCCTGAGAAATAATAGGAAGTAAAGTTGGGTAGTTAGGGTGGGGTCAAATTATAGAGGGCCTTGAAAGGGAGGAGGAAGATCTTGGATTTGATGTGGGAAACAATGAGGCTTTCAAAATTATTGAGTTGGGGTGTCACAAGTGGAAAGTGGTGGTTGAGCAAGGTTATTCTGCTGCTCCGTGCAAGAGAAATTAAAGAAGAAAGAATCTGTGGGACAGAGTGGCTAGCAACCCAGACAGGAGGTGAGTAGGGTCAGGGACAGGGCGGAGGCAGTGGGAGTCATGAGGACATCTGAGAACCACTGTAAATCATTCATGAATCTTCTGATGACTGAATATGAGAGAGGATGGAGAATAAGGTGGTTGATGTGACTCTATAAATGCTGGTTGTGCCTCTAATTTTAAGTAAAGGGCAAGTGGGTAAGAGTTGGAGCTTGGCAATAATATTTGAGTTTGGTTTTAGAAATGTCGAATTTCTTGTGAATGATGGATGAAATGCTGTGTGGATATGAGAAATGTGCATTAGCATCCATGAGACACACTGGTTTCTCTAAGGGAGGAAGGTTGGAGAGGGACAAGGACTGGGGCCAAGTGTCTGCTTGTGGAGTTTGAAGATGAGTCTGTAAACATGGTGTAGTTTGAGAGACCAGGAAGGAAGTGAGAACAAGTAATATCCCTGAAAAGAGAGGTCTCTGTTCTTTTTAACAAATTTTTTTTTGAGTTTTAATTTTTTTTTAACGTTTACTTATTTTTGAGACAGAGAGAGACAGATCATGAATGGGGGAGGGGCAGAGAGAGAGGGAGACACAGAATTGGAAGCAGGCTCCAGGCTCTGAGCCGTCAGCCCAGAGCCCAACGCAGGGCTCGAACTCACGGACCGCGAGATCGTGACCTGGCTGAAGTCGGATGCTTAACCGACTGAACCACCCAGGTGCCCCAAGAGAGGTCTCTGTTCTAAGAGGATGATGAAGATAAAGGAAAAGGCATGGAAACTAAGATAATTCTTTTGGAATTAGAAAATCTGCTCTGTCTTCCTACCTATTCTTTGGTCTAGAATTCTCTCCCACCCCATCCACCTGCTCTTCCTTTATGTGTCCCTGGCTCTGAAACCTTCTGTCAGTCCCCTAGATAGACTTCAGGCCTTCTTTCCTCTCTGCTCTGTTGACCTATATGTAGACTTTATAATTTCTTTTATGTTCCTTGCTTTATCCCAGTAATCAAGCACAGTGTTTGCCCAGGTTTCCCTAATGGTAAGAATTACCCAGTGTACTCAGCGAATGTAATAAAAGACCAGACCTCTTATTTGGATATGCTGACTCAGTAGGTCTGAGTTGGAGTCCAGGAATATTTAAAAACTCATTCTGGGTGATTCTTTAGGGAGATTTGGGACACACTGACTAGTGAACTGCCTGACAGTGCTTTTTCGGTGCTTAGACTTGATGAATGCTTGTTTGTTTATCAGGTGCATTTTTGGGGCTTTTTACATGCTAGACACTGTCCTTGGTTTTGAGGATACGATGGAAAGTGAGATAAGCTCTGACAGATGTATGTGCACAGGTAGTGTGACAGAGACAACAGGGGTTTTCTCAATTTGGTATGGGAGGAGGGCTCTCTGAGTGACTTTGATGCTGAAATCTGAACAAAAAGGAGCCAGCCACACAAAAATCCATCTGGAGGAAAGACTGCTTCCATCAGTCTTCAGCTAGTGTTCAGGAGCTGATGTGGTAGTGATCATGGGGTAGTTGGGGATAGAAAGAAGGCTGGTGTGGCAGGGTCGTGGGACGTGAGATGGGGGAATGGTAGGCGATGAAGTCAGAGAAGTGGATGAGGATGAAAACTGGAAGACTGTGCTTAACAATTGGATTTTATTCTACATGTGATGGGAAATTACTGGAGGGTTTAAGCAGAGGAGTAACAGATCTGATTGATGTTCTAGAAGATTCTGGATGCTTGAGGTAGATGGCTTCTGGTGTGGGGGTGACAGGATGAGGAGGAGTCTCACAAATGTGAGCTGGAAAGAAGTAGCTGGATTTGGGGGTGTGTTAGTGTAAACAGATTAGATGCAGGGAAGCTTGGATGAGAAGAGAAACTGAGTGAATTTATTTCTGATGGCCTCTCTATTTTCTGAACCAGGAGAAGCAAGGCCATCTCCTGAGATGAGGGGGGCTTAGTGGGATTATTGAAGAAAAGCAGGGGATATTTGCAAGACATAGCATGGGTGTGCGCGTGCTCTGTGTCTCATAGTAAATTGAAACATTGAGACTTACCATGCTGTGAACGTGGTCCCAAGTGTTTTATATATTTTATACTCATAATATATCCTCATAATGCTCATAGCAGCCTTATGGGGTAGCTGCTATTATCATTCCCATTTGTAAAAGGAAAAACTGAAGCTTACAGCCATTCATTACCTTGGTTAATTTAAGGTCATAGGTAGAGTCAGGTTCAAATCCAGACCATCATGATTATTTTAGATTTTTAAATGTCACAGAGTGAATATTAAAATGTGTGTTCAGGGGCGCCTGGGTGGCGCAGTCGGTTAAGCATCCGACTTCAGCCAGGTCACGATCTCGCGGTCCGTGAGTTCGAGCCCCGTGTCAGGCTCTGGGCTGATGGCTCAGAGCCTGGAGCCTGTTTCTGATTCTGTGTCTCCCTCTCTCTCTGCCCCTCCCCCATTCATGCTCTGTCTCTCTCTGTTCGAAAAATATATAAACGTTGAAAAAAAAAATTAAAAAAAAAATGTGTGTTCATACTTTAATAGTATGTTAGTGGACGCTTAAAAATACAATGCCTTAGTCTAAATACTCTAAAGTAGTTAAATAGGGGTGCCTGGGTGGCGCAGTCGGTTAAGCGTCCGACTTCAGCCAGGTCACGATCTCGCGGTCCGTGAGTTCGAGCCCCGCATCAGGCTCTGGGCTGATGGCTCAGAGCCTGGAGCCTGTTTCCGATTCTGTGTCTCCCTCTCTCTCTGCTCCTCCTCCGTTCATGCTCTGTCTCTCTCTGTCCCAAAAATAAATAAACGTTGGAAAAAAAAATTTTTTTTTAAATAGTTAAATAACTTATTTTTCAAAATTATAGATAGCTAGATTGTATTTAAAAATCAAGATAGCCTTAATCTTTATTATTTTGAAGCAGCTTTAACTTAATTTTTTTCCTTCTGTTTGCTTAGTAATACATAAATTGTTTTTAAAGACCAGCAACACAGGAGTATATACCGAAGTGGAAGCCCCCAACAGTAAATGTTTTTACTTATTTAATATTTTATTATAAATATGCATCCATGGTTAAAAAAAAAAAACAACTTTGCAAGAAGCTATAAAATGAAGAATTAAATTGCACCCCCTTCTACAGCCTGCAAGCCTTCTCCCCAGAGTCAACAATTGAGTTTCTTGAGTGTATACACAACTGGTATCATGTTAGTATACATAGTGTTCTGTACTTTGCTTTTTTCCTGCTAGCAGTGATTCATTATCACTTAATAAAAGGCTTTCCAGTCATAATTAATGATAGCAGAGGGTTGTATTATGTGGATCTACCATAATTTATTTACTAAATTCCCTATTGGTGGATATTTAGGATATATACATTTTTTTTGCCACTGTTAATGCCATAAAAACCTTTGTATATCATTGAAAACCTGTAATTACCCAATATATAATTTTATATAAATATGTATTTTCCCAATTTATCCTTTACCTTTTGACATTGTGGTATATTCTTCTGTGTAAAAGTTTTTAATTTTTCATGTTCATAATCATTTCAGTTTTTCCCTTGGGTGGCCCAGGGTTTTAATGTCCAGTAGGACTAACTTTAAAATGATTTTATTTTAGGCTGATACCATGTTAAAGATGGGCTTTCAACAGCAAGTGCTTGACATTTTGGAAAACGTTCCTAATGATTGTCAGACCATTTTGGTTTCAGCTACAATTCCAGCTAGCATAGAACAACTAGGAAGCCAGCTTCTGCATAATCCTGTGAGAATTATCACTGGGGAAAAGAACCTGCCTTGTTCCAGTGTGCGCCAGATTATTTTGTGGGTAGAAGAACCAGCCAAAAAGAAAAAATTGTTTGAAATCTTAAATGTGAGTAGTTGCGCAACCCTGTTTTGTAGATTGTGTTTGCATTTTTCACAGTCCTTAAGATTGTGATTTTTAGATGCAGCCTTTGGGGAATTTAGTATAGATACTTAATAACTAAATTGCTTTACCTCAATTCTGTGGGATCAGATAAATATTTATTTGCATAAGCTTACTGTATGGATGCAGAATTGCCCCTTTTTTCCCCCTATTATAACGTTTATTTATTTTTTTGGGACAGAGAGAGACAGAGCATGAACGGGGGAGGGGCAGAGAGAGAGGGAGACACAGAATCGGAAACAGGCTCCAGGCTCTGAGCCATCAGCCCAGAGCCCGACGCGGGGCTCGAACTCACGGACCGCGAGATCGTGACCTGGCTGAAGTCGGACGCTTAACCGACTGCACCACCCAGGCGCCCCTTTTCCCCCTATTATAGAAAGATGTTTAAATATCAAGACTATTCTTAAGTAATATTTTTTGTTTGAAAAATTTTTAGTAGTTTTATGTATCAGGTTAAAGACAAGTTCTTTCTTGATCATTCTGTCCTTGGGAAATAGAATCTTTTAGCAGTAACTTGTTTAAGCAGAAATTTGTTAAGTGGGTGATATGTGTAGCACAGTTACTTAAAAATAAGGTATTAAGTTAAATATGTTTGTATTTACTTATGAACAGTATTTAAAATTTTAAATTGAACTCAAAATTTTAAAATTATTTTTGCAATATTAATGAAGTATTGGAGAAATATGAACAAGCAGTAGACTGTTGTGCTTCTGTTTGTGCATATTTAAAAAACATTCGTTTTAACACTCATTTTTCCTCTATAAGCCTGTTGATAACTAGCTTATACTAATGCTTTCAGAAAAACTTCCCATTGTAAATTATGTTGTATGAATAATTTTAAACATATGTTTTTTGTTTTTCAGGATAGGAAACTCTTCAAGCCTCCAGTGTTAGTATTTGTGGACTGCAAGCTGGGAGCAGATCTGCTGAGCGAGGCAGTGCAGAAAATCACTGGTCTAAAAAGTGTGTCTATACATTCGGAGAAGTCACAAACAGAAAGGAAAAACATTTTGAAGGTTTGGCACTCAGCATTCTGTTTTCAAGGGACCCCCTATTACCAGCTGGTTTTTAAAGCGACCTTTTTTTAATGACTGCAAGAACTTCAGGCAAGCAGTGACTGTCAGCTAATTGTTCCTCTTGCTCAGGCTTCTGTGTTTTGGGAGCAATAAGCCTGTTCCCTACAGGGTTATCTGCTAAATAGATTACTAATTCAGAATCTACCATTTCTGAAATCAGGTCAGTTTAGACGGGGGCAGAGCAGTAGTTCACCCTTGGAAAGGGTTTGCTTGAGTACATGAAGAGAAAACATTTGATGGGGTTGGGCGGGGGGTGGTTGGGAAGAATTTAAACCACACAGATTTCTCAGGTATTCTAAGACCTTTACTTACTGAAAAGATACTGCAACAACAATGTTGAAGAAAGTATTAAAAGAAGAAAAGGTATCTGAATTAGATAAAACCACATGAGATAAATTCTGAATAATGAAGTTTGTTGCTTTTCGGGGAAGGGATTACTTGAAGGAGACTATGAAGTTGTGGTGAGCACCGGAGTCCTGGGACGAGGCCTGGACTTGATCAGTGTCAGGCTGGTTGTCAATTTCGATATGCCTTCAAGTATGGATGAGTACGTGCATCAGGTAAAGAGATTTTATGTTTCCTCCCTGAGTTCTCTTGGGCAAGGCATTGTCAATAGAGTGGTAACTAAAAAATAAAAAGTTTTGGGGTGCCTGAGTGGCTTGGTTGAGCATCTGACTCTTGATTTTGGCTCAGGTCATGATCCCAGGGTTGTGGGATCAAGCCCTGGGTCAGGACTTAAGATTCTCTCTCTCTCTTTCTCTCTCTCTCTCCCCCCCCTTCTGCCCCATTCCCCTGCTTGCTTGCTCTCTCCCTCTAAAATAAAATAAATGAAAAAAAGTGAGACAGTATTCTAAAAAAGAAAAAATAAGTTTTATCATAGACCTAAAAAGATTTTATAAACTTTATATAGTTCTTCCTTTTAAAACATACATGTATATAAGCTAAATTTTGTTTTTAAAAACTCTATGTGTGCCTAAAATGGATTAAAAGAATAATTGGAGGGGCGCCTGGGTGGCGCAGTCGGTTAAGCGTCCGACTTCAGCTCAGGTCACGATCTCGTGGTCCGTGAGTTCGAGCCCCGCGTCGGGCTCTGGGCTGATGGCTCAGAGCCTGGAGCCTGTTTCCGATTCTGTGTCTCCCTCTCTCTCTGCCCTTCCCCCCGTTCATGCTCTGTCTCTCTCTGTCCCAAAAATAAATAAACGTTAAAAAAAAAAATTAAAAAAAAAAATAATTGGAGGGGTGCCTGGGTGGCTCAGTCAGTTAAGCTTCCGACTTCGGCTCAGGTCATGATCTCATGATTCTTGAGTTTGAGCCCTGCCTTGGGCCCTGTGCTGGCAGGTCTGAGCCTGGAGTCTGCTTCAGCTTCTGTGTCTCCCTCTCTCTCTGGCCCTATGCCGCTCACACTCTGTCTCTCTCTCAAAAATAAACATTAAAAAATTTTTTTTCTAAACAATTGGAAATAACCTAAAATATCAGTTTAATAAAATTTTAAGTAGTGGTTTTTGTTTTTGTTTTTAATTTCCTTTCTATTTCTTACTTAGCGAGCATATTAAATAGCGTTTATAATCAGGGGGAAGAAAAGGCTTTGTTTTAAATTGGTCTATCTGGCCGAAATAAAATTGATCCGTTAAAGTATTTGTTTTTTTAGGAATCTTGTCTTCATCTCTTCTTCATATCCTTATTTGTTCTAGTCTTTCGCCTATTAAAGTTTTGTTTATTTTACTGCCAAAGATAACAGCAGGCTCTTCTTTCTAGCAGAAATAGAGCTTTCTCTTAGCGTCGTGTTATCTCACTGACTGCTACCTGTCTTCCTTCTCCGGCATCACTTACAGACTTTTCAAGTAAAGCCTTTCTGTAATGTTCTTAGAATTCCCTCTGAATGCCACATTTACTTGGATCACCCACTGAAGCGCTTTTAGTGCCTTTAATGCATTGTTACTTTTATTTTTACTTAGACTTAGTAATATAGCAGTGCCTCTCTCTCTCTTTCTCTCCCTTTGGTCCCACCTCATTTACCTGTGCATCAGGGAATTGAGTATTACACAGGAGTTGATTGTTCAAATAAATGAAATTTATTTTCTTTTGAATTTTTAGTAATTTTCTAAAAATACTAAAATACTTAAGAAGCTTCTCTGCTTCTTAAATAGAGCATGCTGATTACAATTATGTAACTTTTTCTTGCTATCCCAAAGTCAACCCTATTGCTCTCAGTTATTCATGAGTTATCGTTCACATTCACAGTGTACCCTGAGCAATGGCCTCAGGGGGTGTTGAGTATGTAGAGTTTCTAACCTCTACTCAGAATGGCCCCATATCCTTCTGCTTTTCTATTTCTTATATCTGGGTATGTTTTGTTTGTTTGCTTCAGTAATTGAACGGTACATATACACAATAAGAAATAATACAAATAACAAAAGATATAAAGTGAAAAATAAGTCTCTGTAAGGTAACCCTCCTATTTTTGAGTGGTTACAACAGTTAATGGTGCAGAAATTATAAAATGCATGTTTATGCACAAGTACACATGTATATGCGTACCATGTTACGCTTATTACGTAAATGGGACCACATTACTCCAACTGTTCTATGCCTTGCTTTCTTTATTAAATATATCTTAGGCATCTTTCCTTATTAGCACACATAATAGGTACCATTTAAAAAATATTGATATGTATGGAGTGCTTACTATATGACCAGGCACTGTTCTAAACTCTTCAAATGTTTTTACTTGCTTTCAATTGGGCTTGATCTATTTTCATTGCTACATGGTAGTGTATTGTATGGATTACCATAATTCAATAAATCCTTTACAATTTGATGGATAATCAAATATTTCCAATATTCTGTTGTTAAATAATGCTGCAGTGAACATCCATCTATACAGTTGTTTCTCTCATGCAGTATATTTATAAAATAGACTTGGAGGAGACTTGCTAGGTCAAAGGAATGTGTATTTTATTTTATTTTACTCTATTTTTATTAGTGTTGTTTAAGGATATGTGTATTTTAAATTATAGTAGGTATTCCCAAGTGTTTGCTTTTAACTTAGGGGGCAGGGACTTCTGGGCAAATAATTTGGAATTTGTTGAGTCAGCTTTTAGAGTCTAGAGAGTATTGCAGTTATGTTCTTGAACAGCTTATGTTACAGTATAAAATATCTCAGAATAAATATGTCTCAATTGATAGAACTCCCATGCTATACAACTCACCACTTGAAAGTCAATTTACTGGTTTTTAGCATATTCATATTGTTGTGCAGCCATTACTACAGTCAATTTTAGAATATTTTTATCCTAAAAAGAAACCCCATACCTGTCCCTTCAGCAGTCATTCCCCATTCCTTATCTCTCTCTCTCTCTCTCTCTCTCACACACACACACACACACACACACACAAAGACACACACAAAGACACACACACACACACACCTTAAGCAACCACTACTCTATGCCTGTCTTTATAGATGTATCTCTTCTAGACATTTCCTATAAATGGAATCATAGGTATGTACTCTTCTCTGCCTTTTTTCACTTATCACAGTGTTTTCAAGTTTCACTCAAGTTGTAGCATGAATCTGTACATTTTTTATTGCTACACTATATTCCAAAGATATACTGCCTTTCTTTGTTCATTAGTTGCTAGACATTTAGCATGTTTCTACTTTCTGTTTGCTATGAACAATGCTGTGTGTATCCATGTACAAGTTTTTTTTTTTAATTTTTTAATGTTTATTTATATTTGAGAGAGAGACAGTGCACGAGCACGGGAGGGGCAGAGAGGGAGAGATGGAGACAGAATCTGAAGCAGGCTCCAGGCTCTGAGCTGTCAGCACAGAGCCTGATGTGGGGCTTGAACTCACAAGCCATGAGATCATGACCTGAGCTGAAGTCGGACACTTAACCGACTAAACCACCCAGGCGCCCCATGTACAAGTTTTTATGTGGATGTAGGCTTTCATTTCTTTTATTTTAATACCAGTCTAGTTAACATACAGTGTTATATTAGTTTCAGGTATACAATATAGTAATTCAACAATTCTGTACTTTAGTCAGTGCTCATCATGATAAGTGTACTCTTAATTCCCTTCATTTATTTTACCCTTTCCCTTCCCCGCTCTGGTAACCATCAGTTTGTTCTCTATGGTTAAAAGTTTGTTTTTTGGTTTATCTCATTTCTTCTTTGTTCATTTGTTTTGTTTCTTAAATTACACATATGAGTGAACTCACATGGTATTTGTCTTTCTCTGACTTATTTCATTTAGCATTATACTCTCTAGGTCCATGTTGTTGCAAATGACAAGATTTCAGTCTTTTTTATGACTGAATAATATTCCATCACACACACACACACACACACCACATCTTCTTTACCCATTCATGTATGGATGAACATCTGGACTACTTCCATAATTTGGCTATTGTAAATAATGCTGCAGGGGCGCCTGGGGGGCTCAGTCAGTTAAGCGTCTGACTTCAGCTCAGGTCATGATCTCAAGGTTTGTGGGTTTGAGCCCCGCATTGGGCTCTGTGCTGACAGCAGAGAACCTGAAACCTGCATCAGATTCTGTGTCTCCCTCTCTCTCTCTGCCCCTCCCCCACTCATGCTCTGTCTCTTTCAAAAATAAATAGATGTTAAAAAAAATTTAAATAGTGCTGCAATAAGCATTGGAGTCCATATTATCTTTTTGAATTAGTATTTTCCTGCTCTTTGGGTAAATACCCAGTAGTGGAATTACTAGATCATATGGTAATTCTATTTTCAATGTTTTGAGGAAACTCCATGCTGCTTCCCACAGAGGCTACACCAATTTGCATTCCAACCAACAGTGTACTAGTATTACTCTTTCTGTACATCCTTGCCAACATATGTTCATTTTCATTTCTGTTGGGGACACACCTAGGAATGGAATTGCTGGGTCATATAGTAAATTTGTGTGTAACATGTTGAGGAACTGCTAGACTCTTTTCCAATGTGGCCTCATGATTTTACATTCTCACCAGCAATATATGAGGGTTCCAGTTTCTCCACATCTTTATCAACACCTATGTTATTTATGTTTTTAAGTATAACCATGCTAATGGGTATAAAGTGATATCTCCTTGTGCTTTTGATTTGCATTTCCCTAATGACTAATGAATATCATTTCATGTACTTACTGGCCCTTTGTGTATCTTCTTTGGAGAAATATCTTTAAATTCTTTGCCTATTTTTTAATTGGGTTGTCCTTTTATTATTGAGTTGTAAAAGGTATTTATATATTCTAGAAGATCCTTATCAGATACATGATTCGCAAATCTTCTCTTCCAGTACGTGAGTGCAGCTATATTTTATATTAGTTTTTAGTTTTATTGGAAAAATTCAGTAACATAAATAAAGCAACATTTCTTCTCTTGTGCCCAGTCTCATTCCATAGATGGCCATGTTTTGTTTTGTTTTTACAACGTTAAAAATGTCCTATATATTGGCAGCAACGATCTAATCATTTAAATACTCTGAATATAGACTTTGTTCTACATTTCAGTTAAGGAGCAGAAATTGACCATGACTGTGTATTTACCCCCTTCTTCTGAAGAGTTTCTCAGTATATTTGGAGACAAGTAAATTTTGTTCCTTATCATGTATTTCCATCACAATTTGTGTTCATTTAATTTTATCAAAATGAGAACTTTATGCAAAAATGAGTTCACTTAAATCTTACATTTCAAGGCACTGAAGTACTCTAAAGAGTCTTCTTGCTCTAAAAGCAGTAGCTTTCAGAAAGTTTTTACCTTACCCCTATCCACAGTAAGAAACATCTTCATGTCATTGGCCACCCCCTCACAAGATACCGGAACTGAAACACAGGGTTCACAAACAATCCTTACTGGTATTATATGTGATCACTTTCGTATTTTCTGTTTGAGCTATTTCATTAAAAAGATGCTGGTGGCAGTCTACCTAAATTGATTTCACAAAATACATTGAGATGTACAATACAAAAAGTGCTATGGGAATGATGAACGTTAATCTTAGTAAAGCCTCTTTAAATACTAATCTTAATTTTCTTGCAAGAGACATTAAGGTTTTATATGAACATTTTGAAAATGTCCTTTGCATTTCATTTCAGGTTGGAAGAGTGGGGAGATTAGGCCAAAATGGAACAGCGATTACTTTCATCAATAACAATTCAAAAAGACTCTTCTGGGATATTGCAAAAAGAGTAAAACCCACAGGATCCATTCTTCCCCCACAGTTACTAAACTCCCCTTACCTTCACGACCAGAAAAGAAAGGAACAACAGAAAGATAAACAGACACAGAATGATCTGGTTACAGGTGCTAATCTTATGGACATTATTAGAAAACATGATAAAAGTAATTCTCAAAAATGACTTGTTATACCACTGAACAATTTTTTATTGTGTATGTTGTCCATGAAATTTCTGTATCTTATTACTGTATGGTTCGAATCAATGGGACATGTACATGAAGCAAAAAAAATTTAACATAATTTAAATTTTTTTAAATTGAATATCAGATTTATACCACAGTATTATATTTATTTCCCTTTAGCTCTCATAAATTAAGAAAAAATCGGAAAATGAATTGCTAAATAAAATAAAATTTTTTCTGTCTAGACAAAGCCTTTTTTTTCCCCCCAGTACTCTTGCAGCTGCTGTCAGAGCTGGACACCTGCACAGCGAGCAGTCAGACTCAGAATGGTGATAGTTTTGTTTAGTGTCCCCAGTGCGTTGCAGGCACATTGGCACTTGGGTCATTGTTGAATAAATGAATGTTAGGAAGAAAGTAAATGATGAAACTGGAAGAAATGATTGGTGCTTCTTTAAAAGATCAGTGTGAAATATGTTTTATTCTCAGTTGTTTTCCTTTCAGCTTGGTAAACATTTTTTTTTTAATATAACTTACTGTCAAATTGGCTTACATACAACACCCAGTGCTCATCCCAACAAGTGCCCTCCTCAATGCCCATCACCCGCTTTCCCCTTTCCCCTGCACCCCATCCACCCTCAGTTTGTTCTCTGTATTTAAGAGTCTCTTATGGTTTGCCTCCCTCCCTCTCTGTTTGTAACTATTTTTCCCCTTCCCTTCCCCCCATGGTCTTCAAGATCCACATATGAGTGAAAACATGATACCTGTCTTTCTCTGACTGACTTATTTCACTTAGCATAATACCCTCCAGTTCCATCCACGTTGCTGCAAATGGCCGGATTTCATTCTTTCTCATTGCCAAGTAGTATTCCATTATATATATAAACCACATCTTTATCCATTCATCAGTTGATGGACATTTAGGCTCTTTTCACAATTTGGCTTAACATATAACATTCCACAGTGTTATACTTATTATGGGCTGCTTATCAAAATAATGTCAAGTTATGTTAATGCTGAATTACACTTACAGTTTTATGTCAATGTCAGTTTGCTAATTCAATTGATAATATTAAATAATGGAACAAAGGATAGGTGTTTTGCTTTGATACATCAGTACTTTCATTTCTTTAAAAACTGTTAGTTTCAGTTTACTTGAAGGATTTAGACAGTATGTTACATAAATATTGACACTTAAGCTTTATATCCTAAACATCCTCCCCAAAGGGGCGTGGCAGAGATTTATGGAACTAACTAGAGTCCCTCAGTAGGTAGTTTCTTAATGTCCCCACCCAAAGGAAAGTACGAGGTCAGAGGTTCCCCAAAGAATGTGACCCTCAAGACTCTGGCTTTCTCTATCCTGATTCTACGTTTGCTAACTGTTGAGTGGTAAGTATGTCTGATTTCAAGGATGAGGCAACCATTAAGGTCCCATGGTGCTGTAGCCGGTGCATTGGGAGGCTGAAATTCAAGCATCACCACCATGCTCAACATATAAAAGGGCCTTAAAAGTGTTGATAACAATAGAGAAAGGGCACTTTTTCAGTAGTCTCAAACTTGTGTATAAATAAAAGCAGTATAGAGAGATGAGAGCTTTGCAAATCAGTATTTTTAGAAGACTGTATGTATTTAAATCTTCAACTTTTTAAACCATCACCAGTGGGCACTAACATCTTTTTTTTTTTTTTTAATTTTTTTTTTTAACGTTTATTTATTTTTTTGGGACAGAGAGAGACAGAGCATGAACGGGGGAGGGGCAGAGAGAGAGGGAGACACAGAATCAGAAACAGGCTCCAGGCTCTGAGCCATCAGCCCAGAGCCCGACGCGGGGCTCGAACTCACGGACCGCGAGATCGTGACCTGGCTGAAGTCGGACGCTTAACCAACTGCGCCACCCAGGTGCCCCAGCTCACATCTTTTAAGTAATCTCTACATTTGATGGGATTGAACTCACAACCCCAACATCAAGAGTCACATGCTGTACCACTTGAGCCAGCCAAGCACCCCTAGAAGACTATACTTAAACAAAAATAAATAGTGTTGGGCTATAATGTAACCCCACTGGTCAGCCTCATTGGCTCGTTGACTGGCTTCCGTTCCCACTTCTATTCATGCGTCCTTCAGTTGCCTTCTTATGTTCTGCCTGCTCTCACTTTGAACTGTTTTATCGCATTGGGCAATAGACCACCCTCTTTGAAATTCTCACTTCCTTCAAGGCAGCAGGTGAATGAGACAGTGGTGGGGGAAAGAGTACCTAACTCGCAGGCTCATCATGAGGATTTAATCAGATTAAAAAAAAAAGCCAAAGTGTTGTTTTTGTGTTTTTGTGTTTTTTTTTTTTTTTGGCTTCATCACATCTTCGCAAAGAACACTGCCAGATATTTAAACTATGACTCACACTGATTAAGTAAAAAGTTAAATCTAAGTTGGACCCATGAACTCGTATTTTCTGATAAAACTTTGTGTGTGTGTGTGTGTGTGTGTGTGTGTGCAGGCTGAATGTTACTCAGCTTGCATCCTTCTATGGAATTTATATACACCTCTTACTGCCTTGTTATATTTTCTGCTCACCACAATCAACACAAAGTTTGCTCTACAAATGTAGGGAGGCATGGTCTGAGAAGTGATGTGTCATTCAAGGTGACTTTCCTGGCAGCCAAAAGTAAACTGACTCCAGACAGATAGGACCCTTTTGTTGTCTCCAAGGCACACTTACAGTGACCCTGGAGGCTGGAGGGCCAAGGTATGAAAACCAACAAATGATAATTAAGTAAGCAGTTTTCTTGTTGCACTGTTAGTGTGAGAGCCTATGTTGTCGTTCTATTTTAGGATGTATGGCACCCTGTGGTGTTATTTGACAGAATTACAAATGAAGTGAATACAAGACAAACGTTAACTTTATAAATATGTTTACAAAGAGTAATTTGTAAAATGTTTACAAACAGTAATGTTTTGAATTTTAGCTTTCTGAAGAATTCACATGTCATCCTTATTTTTCTCATTTCATCTCAATGATGAAAAGTTGACAAAACTGTTTGCAGAGAACTGGGTTCCAGTTATAGCTCCACAGTTGTATTTTTTTTAAACTAGTGGAAATTCATTACCATCTCTAATCTTTAGCGTTGCTCATTTGTAAGATGAGAGGGTGTCCTTTAAACTTCTCTGCGGTCTTTCCAAATCTATGTTTTCTGTGCTTCATACTTTTCTTTTTTATTACATAATCTGTACACCTGACCTGGGGCTTGAACCCACAACCCGAGATCAAGAATCACATATTCTACCGACTGAGCCAGCCAGGTGCCCCCTGTACTTCATACTTTTAAATCTGTCTCTCCATGTCTGGAATATGCTTCAGAATAATATGGGGTGGAGAGTCTGGATGAAACAAGGTTGGCTAAGACCTGATCATTATTGAAGCCAGGTGATGATGGGGTTCTTTACTGTTTGGTCTATGTCTGATGTATTTGAAATATTCTATTAAAAAAAAATATATATATATATACACATATACATATTTTACATATATATAAAATCTTCAATCCTATCCTTTGACTTGTGCCTTAGTTACACATCTTCAACTTTCCACCAAACTTTTGGCTCAAATTCACCTGTCTGGAGCCAAATTTATCAGGTTCCTTACAAAAAAGTCAAATTCCCTCCTTGTGACTTCCTACTGCCTGTGTGCTACCACTTTCCAAGCCATGTTCAGAATCGTGGTGTCATCATTGACTCATCTCTCTCCCTCTTCTCCATTTCTGCTTAGTCACCAAGTCCTGTCTATTTTTCTATCAAAATGTCCACACTTTTATGCTGCCACAGAAGCCTAAGGCTCCGTCACCCCAAATCTGAATTTTTGGCCATTCTAATTCCTGATCCCCTGCCACCCAATGTTCCTCCAATCCAGAGCAGGAACATACTTTTAGAGTATAATCTCAGAAACCTTCAGCAGTTTCCTGTTGACAGCAACATTAAATCTGAGTTCTTCTGGCTGGTGTCCGAACCCCTCCTTCATCTGAGTCCACTCTACAGCTTTCTACCTACTGTTCACAAGCCGGAACCATCTGCTGTGGCTTTCTCTGCCTACTAGAACAGTACCGAACACCATTGCTGAAAGATTAAACGTTCATCAGAACTTCCATGAACACATTCACAGTACTGATAATTAACCGCTGGCAATCTGAACTGTTATGTCACTGGTAAGCTCTCAAACACCCAACACAACTAAAGGAAAGCAAAGAATCTGCTAGTGGAGGGACAATTTTAATTAAAGAGGGACTGTTGCTAGCATTTTTTTTTTCCTATTTTGAATCCTGGTAATATTTTCATTGGAATTCTGGAGAACCTTAAGTGCTTGGAATCAGATAATAATAGTAAAGTGAATTCTGAGACTAGGGCAGCATTTTAGAACTGACCGAGTTGCTCTGACATACGAGTCAGGCAACTGAGTGCATTTCATTAAATGTGGTGCTTTAGAGAAAGGAAATCAGGATATTTTTAAACAGTTGTTATGATTTTTAAGACATTTCACACAGAACAGTTTATGGTTTCTATGAATGCGAAAATATAAGGCAGAAAACTCCTGATCAAAAATGCCATTTTACATAAAATGTGCACACACACACAGGAAGTATCTTTGGAAGAATATTAGGAAAGTAAATGTGATAGCCCATGAGGAGGAGAGAGCTGGGACTATATGTCTTTGATTTTTTTTTTTAAGTTTATTTATTTTAAGAGAGAGAGAGAGAGAGGTCAGTGGGGGAGAGGCAGAGAGACCTAGAGAAAGAGAGAGAGGAGAGAGAGGTCAGTGAGGGAGGGGCAGAGAGACCTAGAGAAGGAGAGAGAGACAGAATATCCTAAGAAGGCTCTATGCCTGTCAACACAGAGCCTGACTCAGGGCTCCATCTCACAAACCGTGAGATCATGACCTGAGCTGAAATAAAGAGTCAGAAGCTTAACCAACTGAGCTACCCAGGTGCCCAAAACCTCCATAGCTCTTCTTGATTAATTTTTGAGTGTGGTTTCACTCTTGTATACATAGTATTCTCAAATAACTAAGTTATTAATCCTCATTCTGTTTTGCAAAAATACTGCTTTTTCCAGTCTTATTAAAAAATTAAAGGCCTCAGTAGCCTTTGTGAGACTAACAAACTCAATCAATTTATGTTTTTAAAAAAACGCAAACACAAAATCAGATGCATGTTTATGGTAACTACTTTTTCTAATACCAAAATATGGACACAATCTTACAGAAGATTTTTTTCCCTAATGTATAAATGCATTCATATGGTCAGTCTTGCACAGGTTTGAAATCCATCATATTAATTATACATTTATTAAATTGCCAGAAATCCAGGCCATGTCATTGCTGCACAGCTCTTTGTTGATAGACAATGATGGTGACATTTTATGATATTCTAGACCTTATGATCCTTAGTGCTAATGCTTAACATACACTGAGGTCTTTTACAGAAAGTCAAGCTTCTTTAAAGATCTGAAAACATCAGACCAACAGCTTTGAAAGCAAAGACCATG